CAATCATTATCAGTGTCTATGTTCGTAATACTGTGACCGATGAACCTTTGCGTGGTGCTGTTGTCATGGTGCTGCGAAATAAGGAGGTGCTCAGTAAGCGAAACACCAACGCCAATGGTTTAACTGTAATACAGTTGACATTGTTCTCAATGGAACCAGGGTTTATTGTTAAGGCAACATATCCTGAGTATGCCGAGAACTCTGTTTTCATCACCAAATACGAGGACCAGGGTAAGTCTTCCACCTTTAAGTGTTTAATGATGTTATATGAATAAATAATGATATCAGAAATAGTGAAATGCTTGATTGACGCAGCATTTATTATTATATTCACACCAGAAAACTTGCAATCATCCATAACTTACCAACTTTGCTGATCAGTCTTATAACTTACAGTACTGATAGAACTTGTTATATTGTATATTATAAGAATTAACATGTATAAAGAAAGGAAGTTACAAGGCTTGTATCGACTGCTGCAGATCAACTACTGAATTTTATTGTTTTTGTTACAAGATTTGTAATCAAATGATGTACACTATGATGTTATTCTAGTACTTGAACTGAACTTGATGGAACGGAAGCCAGCGGAGGTTGAAATCTTATCTGATGTTGTATTTATCACAAGTCAACCAACATGTAAATATACTTTTTATCCTTGAATTAATTAGACAGCAGCAACTTTGGATGGACTGCTTTTAACCTTTTCACCACTAGACTTTTTTGCCCAAATATTTCTGCACTTTTTTCTCATATTCTTTAATATTTTTGCAAATGAACCTTAATTTTGGAATCAACAGTCGAAATTTGATTAAAATTTCCATTTCTACTAAAACAATTTGGTTGTTTTTGTCCCAATCTTTCGAAAGAATGTGACTATAAACAGGACTATTTTGCGAATTTGTGATGAAAAGAGAAAACTGGTGGTGGAATGGTTAAAATATGATTGGGATGCATGAACAGAACAAAAAGTACTTTCATGAAAATAAATGATAAAGAAAGATAAAGCACAGTTTCTTGTATATTGAATTAATTGTTTACATAAATGTTGTATCTTCTGTTTCCAGCTGATGGCCAATCAGCAGTTGTGAGTTTCAAGCCTAGTCTCCTGCCACCATCGTCAACAGACTCAGTATCAGCCTCACTCACAATGACCTGGTCACCTGAACACATACCAGCTCTTCTTGTCCCCTCATCTGCCAATCCTGGTATTTCCCTGCCATTTAATGGAACAGTCCATGGAGTGATGGAAGTTCATATTCGTGATGGGTCAACTAATAGAGAAATACCTATCATAGGAAATGTGGATCTCTATATGCCACTTAACTTGGACTCAACCATTATTGATGTAGAAAAGGTTGCAGCTTGGTACTACGATGAGCAAAAAGGTATGTGTTATATTACAGAGTGGATTTAGAAAATTTTAATATTTAGTTCTAACCAGACAGAATAAAATTCTGGAACTGCCCTTGTTTATTTAAGTAATCTTTTTCTAGGTGCTGTGTTGTGTCGTGTCATCAATGATTGTGTCATTTGCTCACAAAACAATCTTAATCTTAAGAATCTTAATATTCCAGCTGTTCATCTGAATGGAAAAATTTACAACTTTTGAAAGTATTATATTATTTACCTTAACTCTTCAAACAGTATGTTTCCTTGTCATAATTTTGTTACAAGATTTGTTTATGCATTTAACTAATACCTTGTTAATAAACTAAATATTATAATAAACCCTGTTGTCCACAGGGTTCAGATTTCACACAACTGTCCCATCTTTAATATCTTTGCCACAATCCACAACTTTAAAATTCATTATAAATTGATTTTTGCAGCTGTGTGGATTAAAAGTGGTTATGGTAAAGTGTTAGAATTTGAAGGCATCAAGACTTGGTTCTACACAGCACCTCATTTATCATGGTGGATGGCTGCTGAAGAAAGTAAAGCCTCCACTAAAGGTAGGACTCCATCCAAGCATTTGTCTGTTTCAAGAACATCACTAACACACTACAATACAGGAATTACCGATAGTCTCAAATTTTCTATATTATTCCCTGTAATTGACTGTTTGAAAGTCAGAAAAATAATTGGGTACCCTTACTAGATTTGGATTTATGAATCTCTGTTGCATGCATTTTCAATTATATATGGCCGTCTACTTACCTTGTTCAGTAGGCTGTATTTTTTCAATACTCGCAACTCATGGGGGAAAAGTGTCACATTTCGGCATACTAGTTTATAAATCTAGCCACTCACTCCAGAACATGACTGTGGTTAATATTGAAGTATAGACAAGTTAGCTTCAAAGTGTTCAGTTCAGGTGCACACATATACCCGGTACATTGACTGGAAGCAAAATTACTGAACAGTGTGGGGCATCTTTAATATTTAATTAAGATGTCATTAATATATGCATATCTAAAAGCATAAATCTATAATTAATCTCAAAAGATGATCTTGTTATGCTTTGATTAAGGAATAACCACCTCTCTAGATCCAAGTATACCAAAATATTTTGATCAGTTTCAAGCAATTGCGAATACAGACTAGAGATTCAACAGAAATTTAGCACTCAAGCATTTTAATGTTTAATGGAATTGTAAACAAAACTTCTATGTAATCTGTTTGACAAGCTTGAATAAAAATTGTTCCAAGCATTATTGTGTAGCATGGACAGAATCCATCCAGAATGCATGATTATTTGATAATACCAAGGAAATGGTTTCATAAATTTAATGTTTTTAATTTTCCAGAACCATTCAGTGGAGACGATAGTGAAGATTTTGCACTGTCTTTTCATGTCATCATTATTATCTGCGTAGTCTGTGCTTTCTTAGTCATTTGTATTTTCAATGCAATTATCCTCAGATTCTGTTGCAAGTAAGTCTTTTTTTTTTTTTTTTGCTGTATTTTATCAAGCTTTTTAATCATTTGCATCTCTTAGGTACTGTATGTTAATGTGCATTGTGTTCAATAATGCGACGTATACCAGCTTACAATGCAATGCAAATGCATCAAACACTAGAATTTTTCCACCAATGTTTTAGTACAACATTTTGGACATTGTTTTTTCCTTGTTAATTTTGAAACTAAAGGGTAATTTTTTCTATTGGCTACACATCTTGATTTTTAAAGAAAATATGAAAACTCCAATTATGCCGATTATTTTTAAGATAGGAGACAAAAAATGACTTTGACTTTGGTATTTAATACTGTAAATGTGATATTTTCATTTCCTGGAATTTTCTTCATTTGATAATATGATTAAACTAAATTCCAAGCAACTTAACAGAAGTTACTATGGCTCGATGTCCGAAACAACAGCCAAACTTTCATAATGCTAACAACAAATTTGTCAGCAGTGTCACACTTGGTTTTTTATTTTTTTCATTTTTACATATTTTGACAGAAATCAAAAAATTAAGTTGAGAGATTTTGAACTATCTCTAACTGACCAGACATTTACGTGTATTGTTGAAAAAATTGTTCTCTCACAAAATAAAATTGGTGTACATACTACTATTGTTTCATGCTGAGATTTCTTGTTCATTCAGGTGTTCGCGCAGCAGGAAGAAAAGACGACCAGATGCATTTGACCGGCGTAGTAGCGATGAAATCAACATGACGGAAGCAGGATACATTAACCATGGTTTGTATCACGCCGACATCACAATGAAATCAAAAATACATTCATATGATGTGCACCAAAACGATGTAAGCACTGATACATTTGACCAAAAGTCGCCTGTAGTCATGGTTTCTCAGAACCAACACAATAAAGGAACCTCACCTCGAGCATCAATATATTACACAAAAGATGCAAGTGGTGATGATGATGATGGTTGGATTCTTTAATTGAACTGTATTTTCTCTGATCTATGTGAATTGTATTTAATTCACATGTTTTATAAATTCCACCAAAAAATTAACGCCGAATAGAGAAAGTATTACTTTCTTGTACCAGTTATTTTCAAGCGTCATGTCATACCAGACAAGTCTTGTTCAGTATGGGATGCACACAATGTGTGTGAAATATATTGTAACTGTACACAGAATGTCTGCACAATGACTGAAGTATTAAAATACTTCAATTAATGAATTTATGCTTTCAGAAGCAATTGTTTTAAATAAGAGTACATTATGTGGGTGCTACAACAAAAACAAATTGTGACCCAGTTCTATTTATCAGTTTTTCAGGGATGACTATGACACAAGAATTTTCTGAAACTTGTTATTATATTAAATTTGTCATTTGATAACAAACTTGTGGTATCTGAACTGTTTATTGAAATATGAACTACTGTGTGTTTTTTGACTATTTTATCTAAAATGGCCGCAAGTATAAGGCTTAGATGTTATGAGAAACCATAAGGTTCTTGTTTCTTTCAATGAAGCAAGTGTGGGTACTCTGTCTTTATTATTTTTTTGATGGCATCTTTTACTGAGCTCTTAAAATGTCAAATGTTTGTATTGCTTTGTTATTACAAATTATGTGAGATATCAGTAATTATAGTAACTCGGATATCAGAAAAATATTTTGGATACATTTTTGTTTATGCTTAGGCCCAGAAGCATCAAGTTTGTGCAGTCAGGAAAAATATACTTGTAAAGTTAACCCTCTGGCAAGAATTGTTTGTAGAGGGCGCTCTTCATATTTACACTTGTATTTTTTAAAGCAGCAAGTTAACAATTGTACTTGATTACCAATGATAACAAAATTCTTTTTGCAAACTGGGAATTTAACCAGTCTATTCTAACATTTATTGATATTCAGCTTGAAACCAAAAATATTCTTATTTTATACATTGTAAATTATTGAAAAACAAAATACAAGGCAGATAAGATAAAAAAAAATTGAATATTTTTGAAAAATTTATTATTTTTGTAAAATGTGAGTGAATTTAATGTTTAGTCTTTGTTTTTAAGCTCTGTATTTGTATATATTTGTTTGCATAAATTTGTCCCATCAGCATTATTTGATTCCGAGAATGTCTTTCATATATTTATATATTTCAGTTGTCTTCATATTTTATTCCAATGAACTACTTAATTTGGATGTTTTAGTATCATCTTTACTTTAAGATTCTCCATTTGTTTCATCTTTTTTAAGCTTGATTACCGGTATTTTCATCCAGCTATATTTATGACTATATTTACACATGCTGATGTAATAAAGCATTAATGCATATCACAAAATGTTTACGGTGGTATTTTCTATGTATCAATACAGAAATGCGCCTCCCATATTTGCACACACTAATAATATCGATATATTGATATCGACTAGCTATACAAGTATAGGTCTGCCACCTGATAAGAATGATATAATGTGGCTAAGTGTGCAGTTTGTTGTATTGTCACTGGTATAAACACTGTATCAGTGTTGTTTCCAAGCTTCTTGTAATTTAAAATCCATATTGATATTGATTCAAGAAAGATCCATAACATCAACGATACAGTTTAGTTTTGTATAGCGATAAATAAGCCCCCCATTGCCCCCCTCGATTTTGAATGGTTAACCCCTAAGCACACTTTAACTCCAGATTTTACACTCATTCGATCTAACTTGTGCAAGTACCAGTGTAAACAAAATTCTATTTTCCTTGATTTGGTTGGCGATGAGCCAGTTCAACATGCATACATTGTATTTGCTTGCACATCATACCATTTTTGAGATCTTCCTTACAGCTGTTTTGAGACAATGATGGTATAAATGTATCACTTTCCAGAAAGATTAAATATTGAATCATTCAGCTTCTTTCAGCGCAGTAAAAACATTGGAGATTGCATTATATTAGCTTCCTATTCAGATTTCATTTGTTAACTCTATTTGAATAGTATTCAAACAATCATGGATTCACAAATATTTCCAGTCAGTCACACCATCAAATGTCACAATGAAAATAAAGGACAGGAGTGAACTTTACTAAAGTACCCTCTATGGGATCACTAGAGCAATTCTACATTGTAAACTCTATACTTCATACACCCCAGTCTGCACAATATTGAAGATCAGGGAGCCACAGATGAAATCTTTAGTCCAGATGATTTTGTATTTTATACTCCAAAAAAAAATTCAAAAAAGAAACTCACTGGAAAGAATTAGTAGTTGATGAGCCCAACATTATGCATGGAGCTTTAACCCTTGTGTGGTCAAGTCAACAGGGCTGACATGATTAGAGAGTTAAACATTCTTCTGAAACTATTTGGGGTAAAGAGTTCTGACTACTTGCAAATGTATCCAGCGATTGATTCTGTTAATATCCTTTAGATATATTTTAGATCATACTTCCATATAGCAAAATCACATAAATGTGTTTACAGAACACCTAGTTGTTGTCTTAATTCAAAACCTTGAATCACAAGGGTTTGCTTCGAAGCTGAATCTTTTTAAGATAATAGGAAAACTACCAGTAAAGTACTGGACAGCAAGGTGGTAAGCAAAACACACCCAACCACAAACACACTCTTGGAAAATGCATACAAGCAGTTTTCGAAGAACACAACATGTAGTTTTATTAAACTCAAACGAAGACCATACATGAATCTTGTGAATCTGACTCCACAGAAGAAGACATCATACCGGTAGTTACAGAGCATATATTTAAAAGGAAAAAAAAAGTTTGAAAACATAGACAAACAAAAACATGTAGATTATAGTTATTATTGTGAAAAATCATTTGAAATCACTTAATTTTTTTGCTTAGATTACTTGCCAAAAAAATCATTCGAAATCACTTAATTTTTTTCTGCTTAGAGTTATCATTGTAAAAAATCATTTAAAATTACTTATTTTTTCAAGGCATTAGAATTAGAGTAATTATACCAAAAATCACATGTAAAAAATTATCGTTGAAATGAAATAAATAAATAAATAAATAAAGAAAGGAAGGGAAAATACTGTACTGTACTTAACTATTTTTCTGACAAGGGTAATCACAGAACTTTGGACACACTCAACCTTGCAGACAGTGAGAACTCTTCTAATATATGCCTAAGCATACAAGAGTGAACTCTTATAAAATATGCCTCAGCATACAAGAGTGAACTCTTATAAAATACGCCTAAGCATACAGTGAGAACTCTTATAAAATATGCCTCAGCATACAGTGAGAACTCTTATAAAATATGCCTAGCATACAAGTGAGAATCTTATAAAATAAGCCACCACCTCATTTATATTCAGTAAAAAAACCTTGCATAAAAAGTACATGATAAATTCTAGTTTTTTTTTTACCCGATGTCATGGTTTTCTCTCAAAATTATCAAATTACGCGCTTTGTGGAATATTTAACGCTTTTGCATAATGCTAAATTTCTTTCTACTGTTTTGGAATCACGTAATGGGAAAACCTCATACACTTCACTCTTTCTTTATAAAAATGTTATCTTGGTAGTAAAAAATCTAACAGGAAATCACTCAGCTCCACAGAAAGAGTGGTGTGCCAGTTCAGCAAGATTTCCTGTACAGCTAAAATGATATAAAATTTCTCTTTGATGGAAAAATATGTTTGACTAATCTATTTCTTATTTTAAGCTTAATTATAAAACTGATCCGTTATCCGACTGACTTACTGCCCAATTTTTACAGATTATCTATCAATCAATCAATCAAGATATATTATAGTATCCCAGCACAAAGCATAAGTTATACATACAACAAAAAGTACTTTGAAAAATTTACTTGCTATTTCTATATGCTATTCTAAGTGTGAAAGTCTACTTCTCAAGAGTAGGGGAAGATACCATGCCAACACCATCCATCTTCATCTCGTCCTTGGTCAAGATGTTCATACCTGCCCCATTGACACTAGAGTAACCACCTGGTTTACTATTGCGTAGAGGTGTACTGCGTTGGCGTCCACGGCTCACAAAAGATTTCTTGGGTCCATTCATTTTCATTGTATTGACTCTTGGAATCACATTCATAGCCTCGTGGTAAGCAACATCGGGCACATATGGGCGATTCATGGTTGCCTGTTGGTCCATTCCGGCTGGCACGATGGCACTCTGCAGTTGAAAAAGAACACTATTAGATACATAGATAACTACATTTCCAAGGAAAGTAAATGCTGCAATGGTGTATAGCTGTGCAGATTGTTTCCTGAAAATGCAATTTGTGCTATTTCATTAATGAAATATGGCAGTATTTCCATGACCAAATTTTGCTGCAAAGACCCAAGTTCAAACTGTAGGTTCGTACTGTCGTTGTTATTGTTACAAAGATTTATAGTATAAAGCACAAAATTTATCACAATTATTGTTTAAAGCGGGAGGGTTGTAACCTGTGCACGCGCAGGAATTGAGTCCCAAGTGACGATAACAATACACGCTAAAAACGCAAAAGCTCATGGGTAGACGCTTGTTTGTAAACAGTGACACACTATGGGCATCTGACGCATGCACAGATAATGACTCCCCCGCATTAATCATGACTTTCACAAATTAACATCAACAATTGGACAGACAAACCAACTCTTCCCAAGATTTAGTAGGCCTTTCAAAACAGTGAATGACGTATTTATGAAAAATTTGCTTTAAGGGAAAAGGTTTTCTAATCTAAAATAAGGACAAAGCAAACAATAACAGACTACATCAACTACACCCCATGCCTAGTGCCAGGACTACGAGAACTACAACATGCAACTTGTAGTTAACACCAACTTACTGCATCCGCCTATAAGGTGATGGAATCCCCATACAGTCAAATTCGAATCCATGCTAAATAAATGAAATAAAACATCCACTTTTAGTTGTCAGGAACAAAACAAAACAAAATAATGAGAAATAAGGTAATAGTTGTGACACTAACTCTACCTCAGCCTGTGCTTGCATTACCGGCATATCCATTGGTAGTTCTGTCATCTCAGGTTGATAAGGGTGAGATGGATAGATAACTTCATTTGCTTGTGGACTCATGGGATACATTGGAACCATGTTTGGAGCATTCATTGGTGGTGACTAAAATACAAACATTTATAGTTGAAGCTGAAGGGTTTCTTTGTCACAAGAATGCCCCCACTTTTCTTGAGAAATGTGCTAACAAAAATTGAGCCAAATTTAAATTTTGCACTACTGAGCATGTCACTGCACATATCTGCATAAAAAGGGAAAACTATTATCACAATGTAAACTACATCAGCTTAAATGTTAATTCACAAACATAGATAATATGCGACTTTCTTTCATCCCATCAAGAACAAAATTTCAAAATAAGAAATAATTCCATCATAGAAACCAGTGGTAAATTTTCTATGTATCTCAGAAAATCTGGCGATTAACCCACGATAATAAAAGCATGAAAAAGATGACATACCATTTCCCAAACTCAAATTTAACTGAACCATTTTCTCAGTTTTGCGTTTGGTTTTGGCAGGTTTCAGGCTTTGATGTAAGTAGTGTTATATTATACAAGGCATATTGAAGACAAAGAAGCAGACAAGGCGACCAGCAAAAGCAGTTTAAACAAGACGCCAAGCTGCACTGTACAATCAAAGGATATGACAAAGTACATTTACTAGTATGCTGCATACAGAGAACAATTTCTCATGAAAGATAGGAATGTAAAATGACCAGACTTTGCAATGTCCGGAGTTAATGATAGAATTCTTCCTGAATCATGAAACAAGTTGGCAGGGATGGTGGTGGGGTTTGCATATACTGTCTAAGATATTGCGGATTTGGTTGGTTCATCAATGCTAATTAACTTAATTAAGTTATTCTTTCAATAGCAATGAATTATTCCTCAAGTTTAGAGAAGTTTTTTATTGTATGCTTTGTTGTGGTTTACAATCATAAACATCACTGTTGAGAGTCAAAACTTGTAAACGTGACTTGAACAAATCAAAAATCTACTGACTAACCTGTGGTGTCCATCGCCATTGACCGGATGCATTCCACTGCTGTGTGTTCTGTGAAAAAATAAATACATGTACATGCATTGTCAAATCAACTTCACTTAACTTGGAACAGGATAAAATTTACTAAATTATCGATTATATCTTATTACTCAGTAATATCTTTGTTATTTTTTGGCCAGACATAGTATCACACATGCCAATTATTCACAATAAAATATTATATGAGTTTATTTTGTGAGAGGCTGGATTTTGGCACTCAACAGGACTATCATCAAAAGCCATTGATATATCAGTATTATGAGGAATTAATCGTATTTATGACAACAAAATTAATGAATACGACTGAACTGGGGTAGATGCATGATGGGAAATCGTTAAAATAAGTTACTCACAGGAGATGGTTGTTGATAGACTGGTGTTGGGAACTGTGGTGCTTGGGGAGCTGGGAGATACTGTGTTGCTTGAGCAGGTGGTTGCATCACGATTGGAAATGGATAGGGTTGATATAGACCGGCTGGCTGCGAAAAAATAAGGTGGGAGAGACTGAATTATTAGTTTACCAATCTCCTCAACACACAAATAAGTTAGTCTTAACATATGCATGTACCATATTAGTTTATAATAAGTCTGTATTGCCTTCGTACAGAAATTCAGTTTTACTATATTTTTAAGTAGTGCATGCATTTACCAAAATAACAGAAGTGTGTCAATTGTTAATCTAAGTCATATTTTAATGATCCAGCCTGTAAATTTGGTGACTACCAACTTGATAATTCAATGGGAGTGGCATTGGCTATGGTTAACACATTGCCTATCCATAGGCAAAAATACAGAAATTAACGTATGCATCCTGGCTGTATGTGTTAACCGAAACAATACTTCACATTGGAAAAACATTCACTCCAAAAACAGTAATTATTTCCTGACTTAACTAACAAATACGGAATCTAAGCCAAGAAGAGTTGACAAGTGACCAATCTAGCAATCCCACATGAAGTCAATAAGATTTGTATACACTTACTGGTATTGTAGCATGAGGTATCTGGGCATTTCCTAATGGATTATCACCATGAAAATAGGCCATACCATTCTGATATGTGTAACTGTAGCCAGGATTATGAACCACCATTCCATTTGAATATGGGACTGCATCCACTGCTCAATGGAATAAATTACACAATGTTCTATTAACACCATCTCTAACATAAAGTACAACAGCAGTGTAGCAAGTGTACAGTGTCAAACAAGTCTATCACAAAGGGTATACTGTTGTTAACAATTAAGCGGGTGTACGAATATGTGAAATTATCTAGCACTGAAAATTTCACAGGGTTTTTACAGTCATGAACATAGGGTCACAGCATTTTTTGCAATAATGTTTCCCCTCACAAACGCCATTAAATCATCAAATCGTGACGACTTCCTTGCAGCAAAAATTAAATGAGTATACTAAAGTATAAAGGCAATATCTACCATGCAATGTTTAAATATATAAGTCTGCCATTCCGATAGTTGGTCAGTATCGATCATGGTGGTTGTTTTGTTATAGGTTGTATTACTTCTTTTTTTAAATTTTATTATTCTATTTTATACACAAGTTAAAAATTACGCAACAAAATAACAGTTATCTATATGATTCTTTTATGGTAATATGCCATTCGTTTTGATAATAAATGAAAATATTGAATATACTTACTAATATTCTTTGAATATGTTTGCTAGAAAAGAAATATGCTACTGTCAATAATATTCGAATTAATGTTGACATGCAATTGAAAACAGACTTCTGCCGTATGTCTAATACTGCGCCCTCTAGTGACAAATAGCTGATGATGGGTGAAAGCAATGACATTGAAGCTGTGTAGTTGTTCAATAGCATATCACTCAAAAGTAATATTAACAGACAATTACAGATGAAAACAACACTTTCATTTCAACATTAACACGAGACAAACTTTGTCTATAGAAGACACAACTAACATATTGCATTGTTTTAGTTGAGACTTTTCACACATTCTATGTTGCAACAGACATGATCAGTAGTATAAAAGCAAAACAGTATTTCAAAAGTACTTATGTAATGTGTTTATTTTTTATCTAGGGCTCCTACAATGAAATTATAGATCTGTTAACACACTTTTTTTAATCAACTGTTTGAGTAACTCTTTGGTTACACAATTTGAAGAAATCAGATATTCAATACCAAAAAAATTATCTGTAATAACAATTTAGTAAATATGCATTATGAACATCATGCTTGATCGCTTTTTAAAAAAATCCCCATATTTTAGAATTGTTAAGACCTTCTCATGTAATCAACATTATCAATATATACTCCCTCCTCTATTCACATGAAAAAAAAAAATTATCCATTTAACATTCTACATACCTGTTTTCTAACTGCTGGTCCAATGTTCAATTTCTTATCTCTAAATATTAAGTTGTTGGACTAGTGTTGAAAAACACAAGCAAGAAATGAGATAATTCTGTGAAGACTATGAACACAGTGACTTTGTCATTTCCAATTCTATATACAGGCTTGATTAAATTCTCATTTATCACCATATTTGATTATTAACAAACAATACATTAATGTACAAGAAGGTTTACAAGACTGATCTGCCTCAGTTAGTTAAGGCAAAATAATTATTTATTTCTGGTCAACAGGCTTGGCTTGGACTTAGAAATGAGGGATGGCACAACTCAAAACATACACATGAATTGAGAGATACACAGAGGATATGAAAAATACAAAAGATTGACAGCTTTACCTCCCTCTCTGAAAGGAAATCATTTTCCCAGATACGAATGCCGCGAGCCTGGCAATTACTTTGCACTGCTGAGTGTGCAGCCAACTATGGGAGACAAGCCCACAAACTCTCTGATGATGGTCGGACACGCTAACCATTTTGCCATACATTAGGTGAATGTTTATTGAAAAGGAGACTACTTACATTTTTATATTCATCTTGTATTCTAGTAGCTTCCTCTTGAGTTTCAAATGTAATAAACCCATACCTGAGAAGTTGAAAATTGGCAGGATTTTGACAAATAGCACAGATTTGATAAATACCTATATTTAAGGCCAATGCATGAACTGTTTATTTCACATATGTAAAAATATTATAATTCATATAGCAGATTTTACAGAAAAAAAGAAGAAAGAAATAAACAAAATCTGTCTCAGACAGGTTTAAACTCATCCATTCCAGTGTAGTGAACCTGTAACAATAAAATAATTTGCTTCAATGGGTTGTTTGTTGAAACACTAAAGACAAGTAAAACAGTCACCTGTCAATTTGAAAGGTCTGGCAGCACTAAACAGAACATTTTACATTCCATATTGCCTGGTTGGACAGGTGGGTTGACTAAACACAACCACTAGATGTTGCTAGTCAATAGATTATTTTAGTCTGGATTGCTAGAACTCGCAAATGCATCAAAATCATAACTGCAAACTTACCCTTTTGACACGCCTGCCCTATCACAAATTATTTTGGCTTCCTTCACATGCCCAAACTTAGAAAAATACTCCTTTAATGCACTATCATTTGTCTGTGAACATAAAAATATAGAATGAGTCAATGTTTTGATGGTTCTTCTGCTAGAATTGTAAGAAATTTTATGAATGTTTCTGCATTTAAAAACCAAAAGCATTAGCTATCATCAGTATTGTGACAGAACAAACACACTACAGGTACTGTTAATATAAGAGCACTTACATCATAAGTAATACCACCAACAAATATTCTATTGGCAATCAGAGTACCAAATCTTGGTGCATGAGTAGGGTTATCTGGTGTGGATGATTTACTAGGTACAGGTGATGTTGCTGTGGAACCATGTTGAGAATGTGATGATATAGGTATGGGGACCACATGTACTGTTGGCTGTGACTGTAAAGATTCTGTTGGTATCTAAAATGAATGAAGACGTCAATAATATCACATTTTAACTAAATATCAAAAACATTAAAAAATACAAGTCATTGAAAATGACACAGTCCCCGTTAAGTTCTCTTTGTGCTCGTCATATTAAAGCGGAGGGGTTGTCGCGAGCGTGTCCTTGAAACTTGAGTTCCAAGTGGCGTATACAACAGATTGTTTATTTACATCAAAACACGTGTTTCGTGTCATAGTAATATGGCCAAAATAAAAACAGCCGTTATTCAGCCATCTTTGATCTGATTATGAAACACACTGATATGTATGATGTATGTGCCAAATACGAATGAAAATGGTACAGTAAAACCTGTCAAAACCGACCCCTGGATAAACCGACCTACTGTCAGAACCGACCGATTTATGTAGCCCCGAAATTTCTCCATAGACGCCTATGTTAAAACAACCTGTGAAATCCGACCACTGTTTACTCCGAACACCGATCGCATTGATCGGTCCCAAGTCCAATATTCACACTGAATACATCGACCATCCGACCAGTTGCACCACATCCGCTGTCTAGTAATTCGGTCTGCCCGGCCTAAAAGTGTGCATTGTGTCCAAATTCCGCAACGTCACAGAAACAATACCAAATCTCACACTACAAGTAACGTCCCGTGTAAAACAATGGCAACTGATTACATTTTTCACACCACACGCCCACGCATCGCGTGGTGTCTGGACAGTATAATGACCCCGGATATAAACAAATGATGGGGTCATCACCTTCAATTGCGGTGAAGCACACTGCATTATCACTTCTTCAACGCTCAAAAGACATTGAGTTTTCTTCTTTCCATAACGATTCTGATCGACAATTTTGTGCTTTCGAATGTTTCCGTAAAGGG